ACGGTGCTACTGTAAAGACTAAACTTATGAAACAGAGCTAGAACTTGTGAAACTAGGCAAATGTGCCAGTCCTTAGAAAGGGACCAGATGAACCAACCAGGCCGCCAGAATTTCTAGGTTCTAGAGAAAAAGGGTACATGCCAGCAAATATATAAACCAGAGATGTATGGTTTCGATCTACCTTTCCAGGCTATCTGGAATGGCAGCTTGATGGAACTTGAATTGAATACAAAAGTAGTAAAGATATGTTGTGAAGTAAGTACTGGAGTTGAGATGAACTTTACAAAGGCATAGCAGTTTAATAGTATGTACTGACTGCCAGTGTTGGTCTTAGCTATAGTGATATCAGGTCAGCTATAAGAATGAGATACAGAAGATTCTGAAAGGTTTAGTACAAGGTCAAAGGTTCTAAAAAACTGCTTTAAAGACTTAGTGGCCATGGCATATTTTCACCAGCATCGGCCAGGATCGTTGGTAAGCAGAGGTAGGTAGGTGAATACAGAAACAAAGTGGTTAAATAGGGAATCTACAAGTGGGTTTCAGGTATGGCAGCTAGTGTAGAATCTTCGAACAGACTACTTAAATTAGACAATGACTAAAGTTGTATAAGTGGCTAGTTGTACACTCTCTTCATGGTTGCCTCTGTGGTTGTAAAGCAATCAATAGCCAAATATACTATCAATAAAATCCTGGGTCACAAGTACTTACCTTAATATTTAAAAAAAAAAAAAAATGCTAATAAGTCTTTTGAACAAGCTAATAAAAAAGATTCAAGTAGATAAACTTATTAATAAAAAAAAAGAGAAGAAAATTAGTTATCAAACTAGAAAAAGTATTTAAAAAAACAAAAAAAACATTACTAAAATCAGTTTAGATCACATCATTTTGACCAAAATATTTGAAGAAAAAAATGAGAAGAAATATATAAACCTAAAGAATTTATTAAAAAAGAATAATATAAAGATCTTAATTAAGATATTTCTGAAAAAGAATAAAGTAAAATGTTTTAAAAACTTAAAAAAATTGTACTAAAAATTTAAATATTATATATATACTAATCCAAATAGCAGAAATTAAAGCTTATAAAATATTTAAAATATTTGCTAACATTTATATTAAGATAGATATAAAATCAGAAAAATATAAAATATTACAAATTTATTCAATATTAAAAAAAAATAAATAGTATTATAATCTTAATAATATCAGACCAATAATACTATTAGAACTATTTTAAAAATGTATAACAAAGATTCTAACTAAAAGACTAAACAGAATATTTTATTAAAAGAATATTCTTAAAAATTTAAACTTTACAAAACTCCTAAAAAATTTAACAAAAAAGCTAGTTTATATTATAAATATGTTGAAAAACATGCAAAAAAAAACAGTAAAGAGCTTTAATTAGTTCTTTAAAATATGAAAAAGGCTTTTAATTCAGTATTATTAATAGCCTTAAAGATAGCTATAAAAAAATTACATTTTTAAAAATAATAATCAAAATCATTCTAAATCTCTTTCAAAACAGATATTTCAAAATAATTACAACTATAAATATATAGAAGTATTTATAATAAATAATAGAATAGAATAAAAAGAAGTGCTTTCATCTTTAATATAGAGAATATTCTATAGCTCTTTGCTTGAAAGTGTTCAAAAAGATCTAAAGTTTAATTATATGATAAAAGTTTTAATTTTATACAATAATAATTTAAATTATTCAACAAAAATAAGTTGAAGACAAGCAGTAGTAGTCTTTGCAAATTATATAACTTGGATAGTTAATAATAAAAAGCAAATAGAGCAAACATTACAGATTACAAAAAATTTTTTTGAATTAAATAACATTTAAATAAATGAAAAAAAATCAAAATTGATTATCATAAATATAAAACAATTTAAAAAAAATAAAAAAATTAAACTTGGTAATGAATAAATATATGAAGAAAAAAAAACTAAAATAATAAGATTTTTAGAAATTTGATTTAATAGCAAACTTAGTATTTTATTTTGTATTTTACAATCTTAGTATATTTTTAATATATAGTATATTAATATGTATAACTAAAATTACTAATAAAGATATAAGCAAGGCCTCATCTTAATACCAAAAAAAAAAAAAAAAAAGCAAACTTAGTAAAAGTCAAATCAAAACAAAAGTTAAAGAATTAGTGTATTTAATAACAAGACTTTTAAATATAAAGAAAATGATAGGTATACAAATATTATATATAAATATCATGTATATAATGCCAAAGTTAATTTATATACTTCAAACTATAAAGTTGTTTAAAAGAATAATAGATACTATTCAAAACCTTATAATAGATATAACTAAATACAAACAAGAGATTGCAAGAACAGTAAGCAATAATATAATTATATATAGAAATATAAGCAATTGTAATGCACTATAGAATCAACTTGTAACAAAGCAAATTACAGATTTATATATAAAATTCAACTTAACAAGACCAGAAGAGATACTTATAAGAATTAGAGTAAACCAAAACCTTCTGCTTATTAGTATAACAGAAGAGAATTAATATAAAATTGTATTAAAAGTATGTAGTAGTTTATAGAAAAACTAATATATAAGTATATGTAATACTAAAACATGTATCTATACTTTACTATATAATAATAAAAATATAAATAACTTTAACTTTCCTATAATTGTATTATATAAAATAATTTCTATATAATAAAATAGAAATAAAACTGATAAAAAATAATTACAAGAATTAAAAAAATACAAGAATTTAAAAAACATACAATTTAAACCAAATTTTTAGTTAAAAACACATATTTTTAAATAAAAAATAAAATTTTAAAACTTTTATAAATTGAATAATATTTTACTCAATAAAAAAAACATGTAGAATTTCTTTTGAAAAGGGAATTTTGAAAACTCTAACAGAATATTTATACTATAGATATAAAATATTATACTTTATTTCAACTCGAAAGATTTTTATATATGCAAATTGTATGAAACAAACAACTTCAATTACCACTAGGATGTGACCAATCAACTAATGTGACAAATAAACACCAACTAATTAATTTATATAAATTAATTTGTTAGTATTAATTGTCATATAAATTGATTGATTACATTCTGTAATAACTGGAAAGAGAAATCATTCATAATTGACTTAATCACTTTAAAGTATTATATGATAGCCGTTAAATTACTGTAAAGTACCCTAATTGGCACTGTAGATTATTATCCGGACTTCGATTATTAAGAACTTTGTAGTACATTTATAGTACTTTAAAGTAACTGTGAGGTATGTTATAAATTTGGATACGACGATACTCAGATAATATTGTGAACTGGTACTCTATATTAAATAACCTCTAAATATAAATAATAAATCTTTTTACGTATATTTATTGTTTGTAAGCTTATTTATACGAAGTTTTTTTTTCATTTTTAGTACTGTAATATTAATTGTCGGGGATAATGCTGAAATCTGGGGCCTTAATTTGAAAATATAAAATTCACATATACTCTTTTATTATAAACACTAACCCTAAATTCTAGCTTAACTATGAAAAAAAATTGAACATAACACCTCAAAATTTCATAATAAAATTTCCCCGACATTAATTAAAGATTATGTATTTTTATTGGTTAATTATCACGTGAAATCACGGGCAGATATACTAAAATTAACAAATCATGCGAATGTCTGTCTTCCTATGAGTATTCTACCCTATGGATAAAGATAGTAAATTTCTAAGTAATAATACTAGTCAACTAAATTAGCTTTACTTAGTATGTGAGCTACCATTTTATTAGTGAGATTTTGGGGAAATTTATCAATACCGGCTTATTCCGACCCCAGATTTTGGTCGATCTGCTGAATTTTGGTTGCTCCACTAACACGGGTTTAACGCCACAAAACCCACGTGCCTGTTATTTTGTTGGTTCTGTCAAAATATTCATGCATTCAAATTATGTAAAATCCAAATTATGTAAAAATAAACTTATTTTGGTCACTATCTACGTACCGTTATGTCGGTAACAAATTTTCAATAAATGAATTCAAGAAATCATAATGTAATTGTGTAATAAAAATAATATTATTACGAGTATAAGAATATAACAAATAAATGATCAAAGCTTGATCGAAACTTCTAAAGCTCTATAGCGGTAGACACTTCCATTTTTAACAGTGCTAAACAAGTTGTCTAAATAAAAAAAATTTTTAATCTATTTTTATGTCATGTTGTTAAACCTCAATTTTGTCAAACTGTCCTGAGTACAACATTGTCTATTGCTATAGGTGCTTTATTATATTACCATGCAGGTTAATTATGTCCAATGAGATTTAATGGAATTTTCTAAGAGCTCCAATGGTACATACTATTAATTTAACTTCAAGTGACTTTCAGTGACCTTCTAGTAGCTCTCAATTGACTGAATTATTAATAATTAGTTAACGCGCAGGTGTGTACTATTTCGCGCTTAGATGGTGTGTTTTATAATGACAAAATTTTATTCGAATAGTTAGTAGATTATCCGGAGCACCATATTTATGTTTACAAGTATAGCAGTATCGACTAAATTCATATTTAGTAGAATTCTATGAAATGCAAGATTTGGATTACAAAAGAATGCATTGATATTTTATTTACCATTGAAAGGTTTAATTTGATCGATCGTAATTTATTTGTATCTAAACACAATTTATTTGGTGCGACTAATGTTGGTACAACTGTAAAGAACAAGAAACTGAGCGACAATTTCGTTTTTTTGCTTAATAATGTAAACGATTATGAAACTATATATTGCACCTTTTATTCGATTTTGATCCGTATTTTTTCATCCCTTTACAAAATATTCATTCATTCATTCATTCATTCATTCATTCATTTAACCAATTTCTGAGATAATACATCTCGGAAAATCACTTATTCATTAATAATATGTATAAAATTAATTACTTGATTTTAACCCTAACATTGTTATGTCTCGTAAATACTTCGAGTCCACAAGACATCTCATCGGATGGTAGATGTGGTCCTGACGTTAATACTAGATGGTACAATATAGTTTTGTTGACAATCAAAATATTTTTATTTCAAGCTTAACGATCCTTCTTATTCTTTTTTCTTAGTGAAAATGAATGCTGTTCTCAATGGGGTTATTGCGGCAGTACAACTGGTGTGTTTCTTAATTATTATTTTTATCTAATTTCTTTTTGTTAAGCCTAAATTAATTTCTTTCTTGATAGACTTTTGTGATCTGAATCAAGGATGCCAACAAGATTATGGTACCTGTGGCCAAATCTCAAATAACAATACAGGTACAGGTACAGGTCCATGCGGTCCTGACACGAATAATATATGGTATAATCTTGTTAATTTAATTAATAATGACTTAATATAAATTTATTGGTTTTTTTTCAAGCTTGATTTTTTTTTTTTTTTTAGTGGCGGTAATACATGTTGTTCTCAATGGGGTTATTGTGGTACTACACCTGGTATGTTTCTAACTATATTTGTCTTTTTAGTTTAAACACTAAAAACTTGAATAACATTCTTTCCTATTACGTAGAATTTTGTGATCCAGATCAAGGATGTCAAAGTGATTATGGTTTTTGTGGCATTTCAAATAACAGTGATGTCAATAATGATAACGTACAAGTTATCTACACTTGCCAAAGTCCTAATACTCTAGCTTTAACCTTTGATGATGGACCACGCTCTGTATGCATTTATCCTTGAAAATTTAGTTTCAAAATTCGTCTATTTACTTAAATTTCTTTTTAGTGGACGAATGACTTGCTCGATAAGCTAGATGAAAATGGCGTAAAAGCTACATTCTTTGTCAATGGGCACAACGCGGATGCGTATTGTATCTATGATTTCGCAGAAATTTTACAACGAGCTTACTCTTCAGGTCACTTAATCGCCCATCACACGTGGTCTCATCCATACTTGACGGGTGTCAGTGCTGACGAAGTAAACTATCAAATAGAATTCTTAAATGAAGCATTTAAGAAAATTCTTGGAGTTACACCAAGATATTTCCGGCCTCCGTACGGCGATGGTGTTAATAATGCCAACGTAAGATCAGCTATGGTGGCAAACGGAATGGATAAAATGGTAATATGGGATGTGGATACTCAGGATTCTATTGAAGGAGTCACTGAGCCACAGAGTGAAGCAACATTTTCTGATGAGACTAGTGATCAACAACCACATATCGTGATAAATCATGATAGGATTCAAACTACATGTGAGCAATTGGCAGCTTTTGAAATTTCTCATGCATTTGACAATGGGTATCAGCTTGATACGGTAGCAGGGTGTAATGGAGATGGGGACTCAAGTAATTGGTATAATATTGATACCGGATCATTTGGTATGAGGGACGAAACTTGGACATGTAATTCTGATGATATGCATGAATCATATAACACGTCACCTCAGTAAATTAACATATTCAAATAAAATTTAACGGGAAACTAGAAATAACGTTAAACCGATTAAATTTTGCCTATCTAAACCAAATTAATTCTGGTAGTTTATTAATTATATTTGATTTCAACCTGGTTCAGGCAATTTAAAATTTCTAGTTATAGCCTCTTTATAGATAAATTAGATAAATTGAATTAGACAGATAAAATAATGTATTTGAAATTTTACTACGTAGATACATATATGCATATTATATGACATTATCGTGCATATACTTGCGTTCAAATCCCAAACTATAGTTTGGGTTTGTCCATGCTCAAATAAATTTAATATCTCAAAAGCTTTATTAATAATCTTACCATTTTGCAAATTATTTTAAAGTACAACTGTTTTTTTTTTAGGTTTGGGTTTGGAGGTAAGTATAATCGTGCAAACTAAGATTTTTTCGTTATTTTTTGATAAATATCACAAAATTTGCACGAACCAAACATCGCCCAAAAATCCGTTCGTGCTTTATAACTCAAAATTATAAATTCACGATATTTTGTTTTTGTGTATGACAATCAAATTCGTAATGTTTATTCTTGTACAAAATTTTTTAAAAAAAATTGGCGCTGTAAACTTTTTTTATTTGCAAAGATTTAAAAAATTAAAGGTTTTCATGAAAAAGAAGGTTGTTACAAATATTTGAAACAGAAAACGTTAAGAAAAGCATCTGTTATTTTGTTTAATATGAAAAAAAAATTCTGTATATATAGTGTTGAAAACATTATTTATGATTTATGAAGCTCTTATTAATATAGATAATACTGTATTAAACGAAAGTCTAAAAAATGATTGTGAATCGATAATTATATATTTCATTTGGATTTTTTTAGGTGGTAAAATTTATTTAAAAGTCGTCAAACCTTCAGCAAAAAATAAAACTTTATTTGAAAATGCGAAGACATTGATAAAAGCATAAAATAGACATAAAACAACACTTTCTAATATTAATAATTAAATCAATCTTTGACGTCTTAAGAAATCATAGATTAATGCAAAAGAGCAATTATCTTTAATTATTCACGATAAGTTCGAAGTCATGTGAAAATAAGGAAACAACTTTTTGCATTGTCTTTATATAAAAAATAATTTATTATACGGCACTTAATTCGCCTATGACTTTTTTTTATTAATATTTTACGTTTGATATTTTCACGGCTGATATTTTCATGGCGAACTTTAAATCATTCTCAGATAGTATTAAGTAATTGTCCGGAGCGTAGCGGAGGACGCTTAATTACTATGCAAAGTTATACAAAAGTTACGTTTTTGATTCATCCAAAGTATCGTTCTTGATTCATCATACTAAGAATATCAAAAACGTAACTTTGAATTTTCCATCTCTTCCACTTGCATATTTGTGTAACACAACAAATCTCATATGATTTCGTTCTGGACTTATAACGGTTTCGTTTTTTTATAATGCTGAAAGTCTATATTCAATAGTTACACAAGATGTTTTAAAATTTTAAATAGCTATAACTTTTTATTTAAGAGGTTTTAAAAAAATCTGACTAATAACTTTATAGAGCTATATTAGTTCTACATATATGTTAAATATCTTTTTAAAATTTCATTATTGTAAAAAGTTGATGTTTTTTGAAAATTTTAAAATTTAAATATAAATTTATAAATTTTTAAAGAATATTAACTTTTATGATAATAAGATTTTAAAAAGATATTTAACATATATGTAGAACTAATATAGCTTTATAAAGTTACTAATCAGATTTTTCTAAAACTTCTTAAATAAAAAGTTAAAGTCATTTAAAAAATTAAAACATCTTATATAACTGTTAAGAATAACTTTTTAATATTATAATTTTTATAAAATTTTATTTGTAAATCATTTATAAGGAATATAAAACAAGAAAAACAACATTAACAATAAAATATTTTATTTACCAAAAAGAAAAGTTTTATAAAAGTAATAGTTATAAAGTTATTATATAATATTTGTTATTAACATTATAAGACATTACAAATTAGTATGCATCATTGCAACTGCATTACAATATCTCAATTAGCATTTCCAAAAATTGTTTATTTTCTGTAATAAAACAAAGTTTTGTTTTTTAAATAAAACAATTACTATTTGCATATAAAGTATATATATATAGGCAATATCAAAACCAACTAATATTTTAAAATTTTAATTGGGGATGTGGGTCTCATAGCTTAGTAGTTAAACTCCCATATACTCTACAGTTAAGTTCAACAATTCAAGTCCAGCTGGAGGCAAAATTGAAAGATTTTAGCTTCTGTAACCTAATAAGAAGCCTGTAATTGAATACAAAACCCTGTGATTAAGTCCAAGTGCAATACAATGATAGAAATAGGAATTTCTAGAAGGAGACCCAATCGTAAAGTGCAGACACTATGTATAATAAGCAGTTGTTACAGAAGGTTATGGTTATAGAAAGATTGCACATGTAAGTTTTTTAGACTAGGGCAACACCAACATTCTTATACCTCCCAATATAGGCAGTATCAACATCTCTGCATCCAACTTGTAGAGTATTTGCTTGAAAAAATAATCAACAAATTGTGCAAATAAGTCTTAATTGGGATTCAAAGAGAGGATTTGATTGGAAGAGTAGTCTGACAAGTAACCAAAACTGGAATAGTGAGAGAAGTGATGAATACAAGGATGGACTGTAATAAAGGATTGATCTAACCAAAATTGGAAGCACTTCTGGCACAATTGAATAATCTAATTATAGAAAGAAAGTTCTTGAAGATAGGCATATAACCTCCTTATGCAATATAAAAGTACCAAATCGGGTTCTGGTTGTACCTATATGGAAGTCTATGATGAACAAGACTAGGGATCAACCAACTAATGTAAGATAAGATCTACAAGGTAGTATGGCATCACTGGGGTTGGTATAACTCCTTGGGCATAACCAGAATTGTTCTGCAGATATTGTCGAATAAGCTAGGAGCTTGCAATACATAGTAGTATAGTATCACTAGGGTCAAAGGAACTCCCTAGATATAACTAGAATTGTCCTGTTTATAAGTGCAACAAGTCCCAGTCTCTATCATAAAAGGAAGCACCATGTTGGAGGTTAAATACAGCATCGAGTTACTGTATGATGTTAAGATCTAAGGTATCTGCAGAAATAATGACAGCAGGTTTGGCTTAAGATACGGATTGATCAAAAGACCAATGGTAGCAGCAAATCTGGCTTGAGATACAGGTTCATTGTAGATCCTGGACCATTGTCGGAACACCTTAGGAGAATCAATAACAGGCAAACCAAAGATGAGAAGATCATAAGGATCAGATATATCTGAGTAGGACCAATTTGGGAGTGATACAGTGATGAAAAGATGGGAAATGTAGGGAACAAGATAATACTAGATATAGTTAAATTAGGAGATAGAAGAAACAAGACCAGGTAAAACATGTGAGTAGGACATATAGGTACGATTTACAGAAGACAGTGCTCCTGGCATTTGGGATGTTGTATTAAGTTCAGTAGGTATTCTTGTCTGTGTAGCAGTTTAATATGTGCCATGACCACAAGTAGTTGCCAAGGTAACTGCATGCAGGCATGTGGCGGACATGCACTTAGATGCCATAAGGGTAACTGGATGAAGTCAGTGGTGTTAAATTAGATAGTATATAGTACTAGTAATAATCGATCCAAAAAAATATAATTATCAATTTGTACTATATCAAATTAAGGCTAATAAAAACCAACTGGCATTGTTGCCAAAGTTTAAAAAAAAAAAATTTTAATTATAAAGCATTTTTTAGCTTTTAATAAAAAAAATTTTTTATGAATTTTGTATTTTATCTAATTTAAAACTTATACTTACTTTAACTATAAATAAGGATTTAATTTTTATTTGTAAAAATTGTTTGATTAGCATATTATAATTTAAAATATATAATTAATTAAATTAATATTTATATATTATATACTTCATATATAATTATAAAATTTTTAAAATAAATTTAAACAAACTATATTAAAATTAGAGCAATATAATAGCTATTAGTAGAATTTTTAAAAATATATTTTTAATTAGATCAAAAAATAGTTTTTTAATAAAAATTTAAAACTATTCTAAAATTTAATTAATTAAAATTACAAAAGATAGTTATTTTTTTAAAAAAAGTTTTTTTTATTTCTAGTTAAATTAGAGTTTTTTTTTTTTTTATGTTAAAAGCTATACTTTGTAATAAAACTTTATTGACATTATTGAAGTTAGTTATTATACTATTTTATACAAAGATGAAAGTACAACTAGTTATATGAGATGTTGTTAATTAAAAGAGCTTATTTTTATATTTTTTAAAAAAATAAGTTTTTATTAGATTCATGTAAATTTTGACATAATTGATATATTTTTTTTAAATATTAATGGTAAAGCCATGCCTTTAACTTTATTGTAATTGATATTTTTAATTATCAATGAAAGTTGATTTGCATAATAAAAAATAGAGATAATGTAGAAGCAAAATTACATAAGGCTACCTAATGCTAAGCATATTACAAGATTGCCTGATAGTCATTTGTTACATTTAACCAATTAAAATTGTGAAATTTGGTTAATTCTGGATTAGTCTGAAAATTACAACAAATGATTAAACTCAATTATTTCAAAATGAATTATATGTAAAAATAGGCCCTTTTAATTAACAACATCCTATATGTGCAACTTTTGGTTGTCTATTTAAGTAGTCCACTCTAGAGTTTTATACTAGATATCATATCTATAACCTACTAAAAGATTATTTATTTAAACCCTTTAATCATCTGCCTCTGTCATAATATAACACCAACTAACCCTTTATATATATCTAACTAATATATTATTTAAGCAGTATAGTACTTACTTTTTTTGTACTAGTTTCAAATTAGAGTTAAAATATAAGTATTTATATAATAAAATCAATTTAAAATACTGGTTATATAAAAATTTAAAATTTATTTATAGAGACTTGTTAATGCCAC